TAGTTTTCGTATTTCTGGAAATTACCGTTATATGGGAAGTGGGCGTGGTTAAAGTCCGATTTCGCCCATTTTCAATACCAACCTACCTTGGATTAAGGGAAACCTACATACCAAATTTCGTTGAGATATCTCAATTTTTGCTCGAGTTATCGTGTACACGGACAGACGGACAGACATGGCTTAATCGGTTTCTTTTTTCATCCTGATCATTTATGTATACATTTGTCTATATCTATCTCGATTCGTTTTGGCTGTTACAAACAACCGTTATGTGAACAAAATTAATATACCCTTGTGCACAAGTGCGCTCGGGTATAATTATTAGGACCAAACTTGTATAGAATGGAATTTCATACAACTTTTGTTCTTATGAGTTTTCTTAAAAATTAAAAATGGCCACGTTATTCAATGAAAACCATTTTTTCGAAAAAAAAACAAAATTCGGACATGCGCAATCGCTGGATTTGGTCGCCACTTGCCATTTACACGGAGACTGATCCCCCCCGAGGGCATAAGATCCAGAAAAAATTCGAGAATTAATTTTTGCGAGGTCAAAAGTGTATAATGACTGGACAAGAAGGGCGACTTTCAAACGCTGCAGCAGCCATGTCCACCACTGTTTGGAAAATGCAGCGGTGATTGTTCTTGCACAGAATTTGATGCTCTTTCAGATGAGCATTGGTTTTTTGAGGACCTCGATGCTACTCGGATCCTACAGGCGAGGCGTCGCTTATCTCGCTGCAGCAACTGATACGGATAATTAGGGGGGGCTTGCAGCACTACCTAATCGTATTGCCCAATCCCTGTCCTGTCTCAAGGAACAATCAGAATATGGGACTCCTGACATACTCGAATCCCCCAAAAAAAATTTTTTTTTTGGGCTCTGACTGGCCTTAGGCGAGGCAGCAGGCCCATTTCGTGTTCCCTCATGCATGAAGACACCAAATATATGTATGGTCTTTGGGACCCCTACTCTACTTCTACTCGGTTTAGTTTGTTGGGCTCTTAGACTATAACCTAAAAAGATCTGGAAACAAAATTTGGTCAAAATAATGACACTTTCAATGCAATTCTAAAAAATTTTTCAAAATTTTACATAAAAACTTGACCGATTTCCTTTGACATTCCATATCGTTACAGAACTAACCATTTAATAAAACAAATACATATATATTTAAAATAACTAAACACTTAATTCATATAAAAATCGGATTGATTCAAAAAGATAAACAAATAAAAACAACAAATGCACTATGTGTTTAGATTTTTCGGACAGTCCTTAAAGTCGGCATTTGATTTGACTATTTATTTGCACCGATATTTTTTAACAATTGATCATTAGTTCTTAAGCAGCTTAATAATATATGTACATATATGTAAAAATGATCTCTTCGTCTAATTAATTATGCGCTATGTGGTGTATATTTGTAAAAAAAAGCCTCCTAATTCACTTATAGTGTTCACTTAAATTAATTGCTTGTGATATTTGATGTTATTGCAATTTGTTTGTTTTCTCCATTAACTACATACATATGTACATGTATGCATGTATGTATAGTGTAGTATGTATGGCTAGGTGAGTGTCGATTACGCGGTAGATAATCTTAAAAAATTCTAATTAATACAGGCAAACTAGTGTCTTGTAGTCAGTATGCCTGTATTCAGCATTTGTACATTCAGCGTTTTAATAAAAATGCTCATAAGATTTCAATAAATTTTCGTGTGTGTGATTGAAAAACTCTCACAATACCAATGCTGGTAAATGTGCATACATTTACACGTACATACATGTCCATAGGATATAATTTAGGATTTTGCACTATCCGCCAACACAGTTATGTCATCTTTTTGGCCCACTTTAGGTCATCATCGCGTGCCTTGCAGCCTGTTGAGTACTCAATTACAGCTTCTAATGTGGGCCAGAATCTTAGAAAAATAATTACATAAAATTAAAATTAGGTTATGTATTATTTAATTACTATATGTCCTTTAAAAAAGTATACCTTATTTTCTCCAGTGGCCAATTCAACCAGCCAGTGGTAATGCAAAAGTATGTCTCATGCGGCGCAACATGATGAATGCGGTGATGCTTTCGCGGCAATACTATGTGGTAGTTTTGCAAGAAAAGGACCCACCTCGGCAAACCCCAATAGGTATGCGACCACTTGTGAATCTGCAGGGGAAAGGAAATAACTAATTTTAAAGTTTTATTGTAATAAAGAGTTTACTTTTAATGGAATGAATAAGATTAAGGATAGTTTGAAGCCATTGGGACCATTAGACCATACGGGTTCACCAAACAAAAACGAAATGAGAGAATAATCACTCCAATCGATTTTAAACATATGTATATTACGTCGGCCGCTGTGGTGTAGTGGTAAGCAGTGCGCGCTTTCACTCCTCAGCACCTGGATTCAAGCCCTGGCCAAAGCAACATCGCAAAAAATATAGAAAAGGTTTTTTCTTAACAGCGGTCGTCCCTCGGCAGGCAATGGCAAACCTCCGAGTGTATTTCTGCCATGAAAAACAGCTTCTCATAAAAATACAATCGCCGTTCGGAGTCGGCGTAAAACTGTAGGTCCCTCCGCTTTGTGTAACAACATCAAGGCGCACGCCACAAGTCGGAGGAGAAGCTCGGCCAGACACTAACATATGTGTAAGCGCCAATATATATTATATTATACTAGCGGACCCTCACCCGCTTCGCTGGGTGAAAGAAAAATAGAAATGAAAGGTGTTCTTGGTTTTTTCCTTTTTTTTGTCATTTAATTCATGTTCGGCCACTATTTTGTGACTTATTCTAATAACAATGATTACAATGATTGTAAACTAAAAACTTATTCTAACGCCTTCTGATACACAACATTTTTGGTTTTATTTTCATGTGGTGTATAAATATATAGTAACGATGGTTTCCCTACTCGCGAACATCCTACATACAGTTGTCCATGTCCAAAGCATGGATAAGTTAGGTCAATTCCACACAATTGAAGTGTTTGACCTTGAGACTTATTGATAGTAATAGCAAAAGTAAGGCGAATGGGAAATTGAATTCGTTTACAATCAAAAGGCATATCTGTTGGAATCATTGGAATACGCGGAATCAAAACATCTTCACCTTTAAATTTGCCTTGCAAAATTGTTGCTTCAATTACATTATTCATTGTCCGTTTCACTGCTAATCTTGTCCCATTGCATAGTTTCGGCTGATTGATATTTCGTAACATAATGATCACTGCGCCGACTTTCAATTGCAAACGATGTGGTGGCAAGCCAGGCAAATCAAGTGAGTTCAAAAATTCAATGGGATAATTCACTACATCGTCGGGATTAGTGATTGAATCAATTGATTTATAGGTCACAACTTCACCTGGAATTTGAGTCAAAATACTGGCATTGATTTCATTGACATCGACATTTTTGGCAGCTAATATAGCTCTCTCGCTTAGCCAATCTTGATTTCGATAGTTTTGTGCAATATTTGGGAATACATTTTGCACTAATTGTACTCTTGATACTGTTACGGTACAAAAATTAGTTGGAAGTGTGATCATGCCTGTATTCTTCTCAATTGGCTTTCGTCCATTTCCAATTTGCAACAAATGTTCGGAAAATTCAGCAGCTGTTGGATCATTCTGTAACTGCACACGAACATTGGTAGTTAATGTGAGTTTTTGAACATATCTCCACAGATTAGAAGATTTAAGGCATGCTCTCAATTCATCAGCTGCTGTTGATTTGGGAATAACAGGCAAAGTTTGTCGAAAATCACCGGCCAATAGAATTAGTGCACCACCAAATATGTTTGTGTTATTTCGCAAATCTTTCAGTGTTCTATTTAAGGCTTCCAGTGATTTTTTATGAGCCATCGTACATTCATCCCATACAATAATTTTACATGTTTGTAAAACCTTTCCCATTCCAGAATTTTTAGAAATATTGCAAGTTGGTTCTTCATTTACTTGCATATTTAATGGTAACTTTAATGCAGAATGGGCAGTGCGACCGCCATCCAATAAAGTTGCCGCTATTCCAGATGATGCCAAAGCCAATGCAATATTATTCTGTGATCGAATGGTGGCCAAAATTAACGACAACAAAAACGTTTTTCCAGTCCCACCTGGTGCATCTAAGAAGAATATTCCTCCTCTTTCATTTGCAACATTGTCTATAATTGTGTCATATGCCTGCCTTTGTTCTGTGTTTAATTTTGGTAGGTTTGTGGTTACAAATGTGTTCAGCTCATTTCGATCATATTCTTTTTCACGTCTTAATTCTGCATTGTATGCATCATGCATCGGACGATTGGGTGCGATCATACCTAACTCACTCAGAGTTTTATTTGCAGTCATCAGGCAAAAGTCTCCGATTTTAATTAATGCCTCATTATATAATTCATCTGTGTAATTCAAATTTGGATTTGCAGTAATGCGACGTACTTGATTTAGAATATCTTCTGTCATGTATTCTCGGTAACTTCTCCACATTTCTATTGGGTTTGCTGGGAAACATGTAGCAATAATGATGGCAAATAGTGTTCTTATTTGGTGTGGAGAACTTGTTGCACATGCATCCATAAGAGTTGCATTCCAATGATTGTCATTTTCAAGCAAATTCAATTCTTCGCATGCTTGCCGATAAGTATAACAAAGATTACCATTAACTCGTTTCAAACTTTGGAATGATCTTGGGCCGGGAATATTAACTAAGAGTAAACGTAAATAGAAACATTCCGCTTGACTTGGATGCACAGTGTAAAGTCGTCCGATTGCATCACCCAAATGAACACCAGGATATCCATCTACAGGTATTCCTCGTTGCCTTCGTACCCATGAGTTTGATGATGCATTCCAAGTATAATATTTAGGCTCATTTGAATAAAGAAATGTTCTTGCAAATGAATCTGTTTCACATAAGTTGAAAAATGCAGTTAGTGTTGTTGCTGGTGGTCGTTCAGCCATTTGTTGAGCAGTATTTTCATCGAAATAAACACGTTGTCCATTTTCTAAATGGACTGACAAATGAATAACAGCTGGATGGCGATCATGAATCGGAAATGATAATATCCTCCAAACTGCTTCGTTACTACTAATGTATCTTCCCATTTGGTAATTAGTAATTTCATCATTTTGATTTGCAACTCCAAATACTGCCATGTCACTTCCTTTATTGATATATTTGCATATGTATTTGATGGATTTTACGGAGTTACAATATTCAACATTTATATGTGCGTTAAATGTTTTCGATAATAATTTGGAATACGGAACTATCCAACGGTTATCGATCTCCACATCTTGATTATTTATTTTTACAGTGACTGTTTTTCCATTATCTTCTGGTGATCTTCTACGGTACATTGGATATCCATCATTTCCAGTCATTGTTTCAGCAATTAATTGCTTTGGGTAATTTTTTGAACATTTACCATCAACCATACATGGAGAATTTTGATTTAACGTACCACACGGTCCATGAATCATGTTTTTGGTTACAGTAGCATGTAATTCGGGATCTTCATTTATATCTGGAATTTCAGCACATATAATATCATCAATTTTATCTGTGGTTAGTTTTTGTTTTAACCAAATCAAAATATGCGCATGAGGCAAGCCTCTTTTTTGCCATTCCACAGAATACATGAAACATTGTACATCTCTGTAAACTTTATGTTTTACAATGAAATCCATTAGAGACTGTAGCTTTCGTCTAAACACTCTTGCAGTAATGTCATGCCTATCAGTAGCTGATTGTCCAGGATATAAATGATTCTTAATATCATCCCATTTCGGATTGCATGTAAAAGTTATGAATAAGTCGGGTCGACCATAATTTCTGACATAACACATTGCATCTTGGGCGTATTCATGCATATGCCTTGGACTGCCTGTATACGATGAAGGTAATATTTTCATTTGACCAATGTTATTCACGTTGGTATCGTTGTTAATTGCATCTCGTAAATGTATGTATTCGTCACAGCGTAATTTTCTTTGGTTGAATCTAATGTAATTCAATCGTTCTGTTTCTATTTTCGCATACATGTCAACAATGTACTGATGAAATAATTTACGACATTTTAAAATGTGATTCTCTTGATTTCCTCTTATCATGATTCGGTATGCATAATAATTCATTGCGCTTACAGTTTTATTTGTTTCTTGACCATTTGTTGGATTTATTAGTTTTATATCAATCGAATAACCATCTTCACCACGACAGAACATAAGAGGATATTGCAATGCATCATATTTTCGATGCGTTTCATTAACACGTTGCAGTGTATCATTTCTTCTTTGCAAAACAATATCCCTTGGTTGAAAATCATCACCAGATATAACAATTGCAACCTCGTTGCTTGAAGTTGGTTGATTGTATCTTCCACGATGGTCGCCGGCAGGCGTTTTATTTGCATCAATTTTGATTTTATGATTATCAGATGACAATCTTTCGAATGTTGTTTTAAAACTTTGCACCAAAACATTGTGTGTGTGTAATAAATCTTGTAACTCTCTCATGATGACTCTGTTTATATTTCTGGAAAATGCACATCGTGTTTCAAGCTCATCATCGTTGTCATTAATGAAATAAATTTGCAAAAATTTTGACTCTTGATCGGGTAGTGGTAGTAATGAACCTATTAGGTGATATGCTTGCCCTTGAATCTGGAAAACGCCATAATTAGAGTCTATAAAACCTAATGATTCATTACATGTGTCAGGGAATCTTGTTGAACGTTCAAGTTGATGTATTACCTTGAACGTTGGCATGAAGTTATCGGTTATAATTTGTCCAGCACCAAAAGATGTAATCTGAAAAGATGAATTATATGTGGAAATTTTTTCAAGAAAATATTTGGAATCGGGTGATGTTCCGGATAATAATGTAGCTAATGGTTCGGGCGGATATTGTATGTCTGGTAAACGAACTTTTCCTGCAGCGCAACACATGCCTGGTGTTTCAGTTTTAAATTTCAATGCTTGACAAAATCCGCAAATTTTATCGATACTTCCAATGACAACGTATTTGTGAGATGAATAATCAAGTTGTGGGTTATATTGAAATGCTGCACCATTAAAATTTACAGAATTGATATTTATTGGCCGATTTTGAGAACGTGACCTATCACGATCTCTTTGTTGACGTAATCTATCAGCATGATTTTCGTCATTTTCATTTTGTCTGTGATTTTGCACATTTCTACTGTTACGGGTATTACGCCCGATGTTAGCATGTCTTCTACCTCTTCCACCTCTTGGCATTTCTTTTACCTTTCAGTTGTATTCAAACGACACTTTTATCAAAATCGAATCAAACTGGTCTTTTTTATGTCACTCTGAGCTCTTGATAGCTACTTTTCTGTTTTTAAACTGGAATTCAAATTAACATACTGTTAGCGCCATCTTTTGAAAATATAATTGAACGTGGTCACACGTGTTGAATATGACCACGTGTTGAAATGGAAATTACACAGAACAGAAATCGGCTCGTTTGGCATGTTTACCGTGTTTAGCTTTTCTTTGTTTTCTAAGGCTCACCTGCACAGCGAAAATTTATATTTTTAACTCAAAGTTAGGCTCACTTGCACAGCGAAAATTTATATTTTTAACTCAAAGTTAATGTCAAATGTATTATTTTTGCCGATTTCTGTTGTGTGTATTTTTCACTCCATTTGTTCACTGTTTCACTTGCTATCAATCATTTGCAAAAATAATATATATGAAAATATTTAAGAAAAGAGATTATGTTCACATTTTCCAACGATATTTTCATTAAATTTTCCAAAATAATAATTATTTTTGACCTTGATTTACACTTTTCACTTTCACTGTTTTGCCACCGTAAGTTACCACGTCCTTTCTTTTCCAATGCCACGGCGAAATGACGCGCCGTATACTGGTTTTTCGGAATTAAACTTTCAGGTTTAGAATAACGTAAATCACGTAGTCACGTAAATTATCAACTTTAAAAATGCACGATTTTCAAACGCACGCGAAGCGTTCAAAAAAAAAAATTTGAAAAGGTTGCTTAAACTTTTTAAAAGTTGCTCAATCTATGAAGTTTTCAAAAAAAAAATTCAGTGTTTTCAAAAAAAAAAAAATTTGAAAAGGTTGCTTAAACTTTTTAAAAGTTTCT